CAAATTGTTGTACAAACTCTCCCTAAACTCCGAACGTGCAACGCGCAAGTCAGTGGCATAACATGGACCACCTCCTTCACCCCATCTCGCATCTTTCATCCTCCGAACATCGCACGTCCTCCATCTTCCGAGAGTAACCCAATGACTGAGGCTTGAGATTCTCGAATAGATGCGATGGGAAGAATGGTTGGACACCCCTGGGATGAGAACCAGCCATTGAAACGGTATGCAATGAAACTGCGACGGCTGAAAATAGAACCAATGTGAATTCAGAGCTTTGAGTTGTCTCTCTGTTGTTGTTGTGCCCGGTAAGCATTCACTCCGCCGTATGTTGAAGGCTGAGATAACCTCTTCTGGCGCTTATCAGACCGACTGAGAGCTGACTCCCGACTGAGAGCTGACTCCCGACTGAGAGCGGACGGAACTGGGTCGAGTTTTGAGCGTCGTTGGGTGATACGTCCAATACCGCCTGTGTTGGTGTTGGTCTTGATCTTGGTGACCCTGTTCCTGTCGCCTGCCTTACGAAAGCTGGCTAGTCGACCTTGGTAGCCAGCCGAGCGTATAATAGCAGCGCGCAACTTGGGGTCCTCGTAGTGTTTAGAGGCGCTCTTTGAACTTGAGTCCTCACAGATGCTGAATATAATTCTTTTGATTATATCCTTTCCGCTCTGAGCAGACATTGTGAACATGGACTGGATCTTCTTTGCAATCCGCCAACGGAGGAAGTCCCAGGGGTCCATGGCAAGTTCCCCTTTATCATGTAGTACTCGCAAGTCAGATACCTTGCAAGCAAGCTTGTACATAAATTCCTGCTCACATAGTCCATCCGTTGGGAGGTGGTGCTTGGAGACCAGCTGATTCGGGTGGTATGGCGAATCATGGCCGAAGATTTCGCGGATCTTGCGTTGTTTAGACACATTATCCATGTGCAGCTTGTGTTTCTTAGCAAAATCCTTGTTATAGGGGTCGAGTCGGAGCTGCTCCTTTGAGTCTCTCTTCCTTTTTTCTTCCGACTCCTCTTGCGCTAAGTAAGATTCAAGCGACTGCCATCTCGGCATCCAGTAGTCGCTGTCTTCGGTGATTTTTTGCACAGGGGTGCCAATAAGGCATTGTGGTGAGATGTACTTCTGACCATCTGGGCTGATACGGTAGACGTCACTCCAGGGTGTGCGAAGCATCTCAGTCACGACTTCGGATGGCACAGCCGTCCCATGGCTGTGGGCGAGGCTTTGATCTTCCATCTTGCCTTAAGAGCTGACTAGCAGAAATAGTAGTCTGGGCTGAACACTGGGGTTAGCAACTCCTATTGGGATCAGTATAAGGCCAAATACTTACCTAGGGTCAAGGGTAGTAAGAGGACAGTAGTTACTGTAAGGAGGAGAGAGTTAGTACCTTATCAAGTAAGATGGTGAACACAGTAAGAGAAGGGTAGTTCAGTGGATAATAGAAAGAACAGAACTGGTTCAAGAGATGAAACTTCTTGTCAGGCCTAAGACAAGCGCCAAGACCGGAATATCTAGAGGCTAAAAAAGATCATTAAATCCTTAACTTACTTTGAAAGCTGTTGATGAAGTTACTTTTGAATAGGAGGCGTCAGGCGGTATGCCAATCGCGATGCTTTTAAGAGAGAGAAGTTGTAGAAGATCTAAATCTTCGGCGGTGCTCCTTTAAATAATAAATTCCAGAGGTGCAGGAAGAAGGTGCAGAATAGTCTGCTCCTAGGCCAAGCAGATCAAATGCGACTGGCAGTGAATCAGAGCCTCTGATGCCTTACTTCAAGACCAGGTCGCCGCGCAGTGATGAATACCTAGCGAACTCCGAACCAGAGAGTGTGCTCACTGGTGAATGTCTGTTGTTCTGAGGTTTGTTAGGGGCTATGACAGTAATTTCAGCCTTTCTGTTGTTCCGATACTGAGGTCGTCTCCCGATCTGATGATGTTGGTGCCAGAAGATGAAGGAGTTCTTGATATCAAGGGAGAGATTAAATGTGATGAGTGCTCAAGATGATCTCGCGCTTGGCGGATTTTGATAGGAAGGAGCTTTGTGATGCGAGTCACTGCCACAGCAAACAGGAGACAATTACAAGATATCCTCTGCCTTTGATGCTGAGGTTATCTCTTGCATGCAATGTAAGTAGCTTGACCTTTATGAGCGACAGCTACAGAGGTGCGTGAACTACTGAGGTTATACTCTATGCAATGACAAGGAGTCATGTCTCAGCTCGCATCAATGCTATTTAGTTCGCATACTAGAAGCCTCTGAATAAGAGCTCTTAATTATATTTATATGTATTATACTGATATTGTATTATATTGTTATAGGTTGTAATTATTTTATATGTAGGGAATTGTCGGCAGCGGTAAACTCGGGTTTATCTGCTGTTTTCCCTTTTATTTATACGCAAGACTTGGTTAGGTGCGGTATGGAGTTTGACAAAGACGAGGTAACAAGTCACAGATCAAAGAGTGCGGTCAAGTATTCCCGAATCAGGACGGATAGCGACGAAAAGGACGCGGTTGAGAAGATGCAAGGTCGAAGGGTCGGTCGTGTGCGGGATGAGGCATTATATAGCTGTCTGGTCGGAAGTCTAGAACGTTCCATGGGTTTGATCTACATTAAGCGATATGCATCTGAGAACAACATAGATTATTTGGTCCGGAGTAGATAACTGTCGAGTGTAGCAAAGACCAAATAGGCTGAAGCGACAAAAATGCCTAACAATGGCATTTCAGTCTAACTCATAGTATCCAATCAAAGATTGGACAAGTTGGGCCTTTTTGAAGTAGTTTTTGGCACTGTCTATGGTGTTTCCGTAACAAAATCTTGAAATCGCTAACAATGTTTGACTCTAGCCGCGTCCTCATCAACCACAAAGCCTACAGTTTTGTCTCCCTGCCAGGTTTGGCCGTCATAGGCAGTATAATGCCATCTTGGTAGCCAGTCGCGACATGCTTGCCTTGTGGACTCCATATCAGGCTTTCCATTGCGCCTCGACCAGCACTGAATCTTGGCCAAGAGACTTCTTGCATCCACCATCCATCTCCTTCCATCACAGACTCATTGGCATTGACATGAACGTAGAACGAATAACTGAGGCTTGCCGCGATGCCCAGGTCGTGGCCATAGCCTAGATGGTTGCCTAGCATAAAAAGACTGTTGCGGTCTGCCTCGAACGCATGACACAAGACGTGTGCGTTCGTTTCTTCTTTCGGAAGGGGTTTCAGTAGTCGGTAGTAGATCAGTTCTCTCCGGTCTGGTATAGCCTTATCTTTGTTGAAGTCCGACATGTCAACTTTGTACATGTCGAGAATAGGGAATGCTCCATGGCCTTCATTTGGAAACTTGGCTTTCAGAGCATCGACGTCGGCCTGTGGACATGGATTCCACTGATCAGGTTTACGTGATGAGAGTATGTCTTTGAATCTCTCCTGTGGCGGAACCCCCTGGACCTCATCGGAGCTGGAAACCGGGCGTTTGAAGGTGACGATACTGGTTAGACAGGGGCTACCAAGAGGTGCTTCGGAGTCCGAGTCGGGAAACGGACCCGATAGGTTACCTGATGGTTGTGTTGGTTGACGAGCGTGAACTAGCCGCGTGGAAAAGGAACGGCTTGAATGGACTTCGGATACATCTAGGATAAAAGGGCGCTCTGAGAGTCCGGGATTAGTGAACACGGCGTGGATGGACTAAAGAGAATAAGTCTGTGTTCATCCATAAACAGGCTAAACCTACATGGATCCCTCGTCTGTTCTCGTCTGCATTGCCACGGTCTTCTTCTTCGACTACACGTGTCGCTGCAAGAGCCGATAAGGCATATACGACAGCGCCATAAGCTCCCCTTGTGATCTTTGGTGGAGGAATACCAACAGCATCCCAGGGGAGTTCTTGTCCAGGTGTCCAAGCTGGCTGCCGACTCATGAATCTCTGAACTGCTTGTTGTGTTGATGATGTATCATCCGGAAGTCTGGCTAGCTCCAAGGCTTCTTGGAATGAGAGTCGCTTCCATTCTTTAGGGGTGCTCATTGAGCTTTGAGTTTCGAGCATATGACTTCAAGGTAATGTCTCAAATGATTGAGTGGGCGACATCAGGTAATAGGAACGTCTGTAGGTCAATAAGTATCTTTTTCTTAAGCTCTTTGAGTTGTTTTGCTTTGCAGTGTTGGACTTGTAGTTGAGGAAGTGTTAGTAGTTGAAGCCGGGTGTTGATGCTGAGTACACCCGGCCCCACACCAGCTGATGATACCGAGGTCCGCCGGTTGTCCTCTGGTCGCAAGAAGCTACATTTTAATGATAAAGTGTATAAGAGCGACAATTAACACATGTGAATGACAGTGAAATTGATACAGAATCAGATGGCCCAATGCGGCTGAAATTACACGAAACGAAGTTCTGTTTCAGTGTATCAGGATACTGAAGTTGACACAAGGAATGCCTTGCAGTTAGTGGCATTGAAGCTTTGGACAATAGGTAGGCGAGCGGCGGATTGGACTCCCAGTAATATTCTTACCAAGCATAGGTAGTCGGCAGAGTCCGATCATTGAAATGCAATCTTGAATGCAAATCGTGATTCGAAGCACATATTACTTGCTGATGGTTGCTAGAAATGTAAGATGATGCCAGTTGAATGCCGTTGTCACTGGCAGATGCATTCCCTCACAAGCCTCTCTCATCATGGACTGGTCGAAATTCTACAGAAAGGCATCATGGTTGCGAAATAAGCTTCTTCATCCAATCACTGAGCTTCGTACAGCTGTAGCTCCCTAAGATTCACAAGGGTTGTGGTTGCCTCAAGGTGTTACAGCTGTACTTGTAAGCCTAGCCTCCCTAGGACCTGAAGCTCCGGCAGAGTCATGACGTCGTCACTCTTGATCACTGTCTTGGGTTGTCCGCTATAAAATTGATCAAGCAAGAATCTCTTCTTTTAACAAGTCATCCCAACCACAAAAAAAGGCACGACTTTCTAGATCATTACCAGGCAATTTGCGCCTGCAGCTTTCAACATGCTGTCGTGCTTTGGTATTGGTAAAAATCGCGAGGACGCAGAGCGCGAACCTCTGCTGCCGCGTTACAATGACGACACCGGCCTACAGACGCGACTCCATGAGAAGCTTCATACATATCAGATGCTGCGCGCCATCTCTAAAGGATACATGCCAACAAACGAACAGCTTATTATTCACTTGAGAACTCTTCTATCGGCCCAGATTTTGAACCCTGAGCGCCAAGAGCTGAGCCCATCTGGACGAGCCCTGGTCAGAAGCATCAAGCTGTGGATCAAACAGTTCATCGAGGTGTTGCAACACAAGAATAGTAAAGACCAGATTCAGGACTTCATTTGGTACCTCACCAAAGCTCGTTTGGACGTCGACGTCGCACATATTGAGCAGCGAGCTGCCAGGGCAAAGGTCCGAGCCGATGCTGTCGCAACCTACAAGAGCTTGCAGACTGTTGGATCGCTTCTCTTGACCAACTCCGATTTCCGCATCTTCCTTTCCGACCTTAGCACTGTTGGAAGAGAGGTGCTTCGAGACACTGCCTTCACCTTGTCCGACGTCTCCAAACAAGCTGGCGAGGCCATCGAGCCGTCCAAGGAGGAAGAAGAGGCTCTTAAACATGCAAATGGCAATGGGAAATCGCCTGCTCCACCTTCCGACGAAGATCTTAAGAATGAAGTTGTAGATGTCGGTGAGACCGTCAAAGATGGTGCGCTTGAAGTGGCCGACGGAGCGGTACAGAGCATCAAGGAGCATGTGAAGGGCGACGAAGGTGATGCATTGGTGAAGCGCCTCAAGCAAACTGTGATGAACCTCCGGAAGCGAACAGACTACAAGGAGTCAGTTTCAACAATCTCGCTGCTCATCCAACGTTACCTTCTCGCCTACTCCCACGCAGCCGTTGCAACCGTTGAAGCAGTCGAGGAGGACACCCAGCCCAACCCAGAGGCCGACAAAGCAGTCCACAATTTCTGGCTGTTCATCACTTCTCTTGGCAAGCGTGAGCATTGGGACGAGGTCAAGAAATCCTTCGAAGCCGTTGTCGATGATGGAAAAACTGACCCCAACTTCGATGAGCTTGTTCGACAGATTGGCAATCTGGTGCAGGATATGCTGAGCGACCCTGACTTCTTTGACAATATCGAAGAACGATTCCAGGAACTGCGCAAAAAGTCCAATGATCTGACTGCCAAATCATCAATTCGAGATGATCTCGACGCCCTGCTTTCCAGTCTGTATGCCGCTTTCCGCTCAATCTTGGATGACCAAGATATCAAGAAGCTCATCCACACGACTGAGAGAATTGCTCTCCTCTTGTCGCCCGCCGGCGAATACGCTAACAGCGACCTGGTCACTGACACTATCAACATCTTTGTCCCTCTCCTCATCCAGGCTATTCAGTATATTCCCATTCCACGTGTTGAAGTATCGGCACCCACTATCGATCTTCTGCTAGAGAATCTCATCCTTGAGCCTGGTCGCACCATCAATGCAAGCTCCTTCCTACCTTTCCAGCTTAACATCTCAACCTACAATGATGTCCAAGTGAGAAAGGCACTTCATGGGACGCAATCTACCATGAAATCAATGATGAAAGTGACGGTGTCTGGCCTCTCTATTGCAGCCGATGACCTGGGTTACTGGTTCCGCGTACACTCTGGTCTTTTCCGTATGGTTGATGAAGGTATCGCAGGATTCCACCTCGATAAGCGCGGCGTGGACATCACTCTTGACCTCGAAATTGGAAAGGATCGCATGGAACAGATCGTCACCTTACGCGATGTCAAGGTCCGCATTCATCACCTTAACTACACGTTGAGCAAGTCCAAGTTTGCTTGCCTCGCTTGGATCCTGAAGCCATTGGTGCGGCCCATTGTGCGCAAGGCTCTTGAGGTCAAGATTGCAGCTTCAATCGCTGAAGGTCTTCACTTCCTGAACCGCGAAATGCTTTATGCACGGGAGCGTCTCCGTGCCACACGAATTGCTGATCCTAAGGACCTCTGGACGTTCATTCGAGCAGTTGCTGCACGTCTCGTTCCAGCGCCCGATCCAGACGTCGACGCCCGCGTTGGCGTCAAGGCAGGGTCAGGCGTGTTCCAAGGGCGGTATGCACCTGGCAGTCTGGTCAAGCTGTGGGAGGAGGAAGGCAGGGATGCAGAGCAGAAGCTCTTTGAGTATCAGCAGGGAGGATGGAAGAATGATATCTTTGACGTTAGCACAAGCCGAGTTTAAGGTTGATTCGCGATGTGTCATGTACATTAGTTACGGTACGCTCATTAGCTTGTTGATTTGCGAGGCAAGCTGGAGTTGCTGGAGTTTGTTTTAGGGTGTCAAGGTAACAAAGGCTACAGGCAAAAGGGTACATGTTGGGTTGGCGCATGATGAATCAAATTTTCCATGATGACTGAAGCGTCTAGAAAGTCCATGACAAAATGAAGTGAGGGCATTGGACAGGTGTAATGCCGTTGTATCCGCTTCTGGAATGTCGTAAAGCTCAGCATCCAGACGTCGAATCGGGAGTGAGATTTGAGCAAGGTAGCATCTCAGAAGAAGTTCTCCGCTTAGAATGGCCAAAATACATCCCAATGATACCACAGTACATGAATACCTACACATATGTACATACTGTACGCGTATGCACTTGGTGCCAGGGGATGTGATCTCTCATGTTTCTCAATCTTAACCCCAGAAACAGCGGCCGCCTCCGCCCAAGCCCTAAAGGCGATCCCCAGAGTCGAGTATCCAGTAGAAGAAGAGCATGGTGCAGCACTGCAGGTATACCAATGGAGTGGTTTCAGTTAAAAGAGGAGGTGGCAGTTCTAGAGCATTGACGGTAATGAGCCATGTCATACTACTACTGTAGCTCTGTGTGAGCTGGCTTGTGGCTGGGATACCTCTAGTGGAATAGTGTTGTCACGAGGTTGGAGGAGAAGTTGAAAGTCACGAGATGTTTGCTTGAAGCATATGTGTAGAACCTGTATAAGCTGAGTAGTAGTCTAGGCATGTCTGGATATTTTGAGAAGGTCAATAGCATAATATGATCTGACCAGGATACAAACTCTGTTCGCCGCCGCATTGATGCTTCTTCACCTTCACTTTCTCAATGAGCATCCATGGCCATGCATTCTGTTTGACCAAAAACCTCTCGGGTTTCCTCCCTTGTGATCCCTGCTGATTGATTTTCCCATCCCCCCCTTTCTGCCCGACCATCTGGTCTCAGCCAACGAAAAAGCAAGTTCATCTTGTTGATCCCTGTATCCTAGAACGCTTGATTCAACCGCCTGACCAACGCCCCCGGCCTATGGGAGATGCTGTGCGACCATGCCTTTTGCCCCGGATGGCTTACCCCGGACTTGTTTCTTGGGTTCCTCTGCCTGGGTATGTCACCTCGAAGGGACTACAGTATAGGACATACTGTCGTTGGACTAGTTTTACAGCTGTGACTTCTGAGAGGTCAAGGTCGTCACAAAACTCTGTCTCTGGCCTCGGTCTACGAATAGGATAGACAGGCATGCTGATGTATTAGGATACCCCCTGTAAACCCCAGGTCATGGATGTTGGGCCTTGGCCAGAAAAAGCAATCCGAATGTCACAGTCAGCATCTCAACTCGCTTGCTCGTGTCGGCCCCGGATTTCCCATCGAATTGGTTCGGCGTGATCCTTGCTCCTATTGCTTGCACTTGCAGGAGACTAGCTGCTGTAGCTTGGTCCTGGTCTGTCTTGGTGCTCCTTGTTCAAGACGACCTTTCCCCTCTTCAGTCTTTGAATTTCTCCATCATCAGTCACCAGTCGCCGTTTCCAATCTCATCCTGTCTCTTTTTACTCTTATCAATACCTCGTCTTTGTTTATCTATCTATCTCTTTATCTCCCCGTCCATCTGACTATCCTGAGTCGGATATACCGTTTATTGTTGCTCCCCTTATTCCGATCCCGCCTAACTTTGGCCTCAGCTCAGTTCCCCACTTCGCTTGTCGACAATCACGCCAGTTATCCACCAGCATTGAACGTCTGCACTCTTAAGTAGACAGCTCTTGACGGCCTGAGAGGCTTGGGAGAGGCATATTAGGTGCATGCAACTGTCCTGTCTCGACCTTGCTGCAACATTGAGGTCAAAAGAGTTGCGTGAATTTGTTTCACGTCATAGACGGACATTTGAAATACCGAGCTCTTCACGCATCACTTGTGTCTGGTGATTACATCTCCAAGTCGAATCATTCTCAGCTGAAACTCTTCGGCACTGAAAAGCCAGATCTCTCTTCCTCGGCTTTTCTAATACCTGGCCAGCACATCCTCTCATCTTGTCTCACTGGTTAAAGCGGATGGATCGGACCAGGCAGCTCTGACAGCACCCCTCAGACGAAGCGCAAGCTGTCGTAATGGAGGTAGAGGCTAATGGACAGAGCTCAATCAATCTGCTTGAGCCCTGGCGCTGCCATTCTGCTGGCGGTTGCCACGATGACCTCCCCATTTCTCCACTGGATCTCGCTTCCGATGACTTGACTCAAGTCCCAAGATGTTCCGGCTCAGATCCTTTGTTCGAAGCATTGATGGGAGATTCGAAGTATCGTACTGTTCGGAAAGCAGAAAGTACTCAAGGTCATCGGAAGCCAAATGCAAAAGAAACATTAATCCCGAGGTCCCGACCCGAAGGCCCGGGATTCTCTTTTCCCTCAACAGAGGATGCAAGAAAGGAATTCAGCCCTTTGGACATTCGACCTGAACCGGCATCAACGGGACCTCGCGGTATCAAGAGAAAACGCTGCAAGTCGGATGTCGATGGCTTCAACACGGCCGATCTGTGTGTCAAGAAACGTCGACTTCGTGCCGAACTTATCACGAGTCGTCTTTCTCAGCCTTATTCTCAACCTGCCACTCACATCCTTAACCGAGAAGGTCAAGAGGCTGGTGACAAGCGGTTCTTGAAGATGGCTACTTCAGTTGATAACACCCGAAGGATCGCACATCTTCACGCAACTTCATTTCTCCGCTTCTCGACTATGAATTGTCTGAGGAAGAGGTTGAGCCTCGGGCAGACTGTAGGTAATAAGAAGTATGAGCAAGAAATTGCGACTATCACGTCGAAAGCTGCCGGCAAGACGAATTGGCGACCTCCGATGTTACAGGATGCCTCGGCGGGCAAATCTCTGAGGATATCACCAACTGGCACGGGAATTATTGGACCTTCAGGCATGATGGTGTCATCGGCAAGACCTCAGCCAAGCTACCCACCTCAAAAGGCATTTCAACATCCAAAACCCCCATCATGTCGGCTATCCAATCCTGTGGCCCTTCCTCTACCTGTTGGCGATGTAGCTGCAACAAAGAAGCGTACATCACCTCGACTCTTCCCTATCCGATCGCCAGAGCTACGACCTACAGCGCCTTTACCTCCGCTGGACGATCTCGAAGAGGATAGTTTTGCATACATGCATCCTGCAGATGATGACTGGGACGATGTGGGCGATGATCAAGACAGTGTATATTCTGACTTCAGCGTTTTATTCGGGCAGAGAGATGATGGCAACGATGGGGAAGAAGACAGATCGTATGAGGAGTATTTGGATGAGCTCGACGGCATCTGCTGGATGTCAAGATAGTTAGGCAAATATATAGTGGCGTCTCTGGGCATCTCGGGGAGCATTTAAAGGAATTATGTAAAGTATACTTCTAGCATTGGGTGGCAATATGTTCTTATTCATGTTCAATATGGCGATATTGAAGCATTATCCGGCCGCAAGGACTGGAACAAAAAATAGGCCATACTGGCTTGTATTATTATTCGGCCAGATGGGGAGGCTTAGATACACCACAGCTCAAGCAACAGGTACAAGATTGTTATTGATAGTGATTATGTCTATGGCTTCACACCCAGCTTGGAAGCTCGGTCGTTTGCAATATCGCACATTGCCTAAACACCGACTTAGCACCAGAAGCATTAAATTGCAAGTTATACATACCTGTAGCGCTTCGTCAACCTCTTTCGAAAAGTCGCCTCGAGAAATTCTAGCCTTCATGTTCTCCATGATCTCAGGTCTTCCCCGTCCGTTCACAAAAACGACATATCGTAATCCGGGGAACTTTTCCTCATACTCCTTGTTCAGTTTTGCCAATTCTTCGCCTTGGCCTTGCAGGTTGGCCTGCTCTGCAGCTGACTGTGCTGAGTCAACCTTCTTGGCCCCTAAACGGGGATGTGACCCGAGAATTGAGAGAAGAGTCTCATCTGGGTTGGCTGACGAGTTCGAGGAGGCGAGTGAGGCGAGGCGAGTCCTGCAGGCCTCAATTAACTCCGGGTATGATGTATACTCTGCGCCTCGCACAATTGGGAGGAGAGTGGAATGGATTGCTGGACTGGGCTCGAATAGCAGATCCAAAGTCTTGATCTGCTCGGCTTCATCTACTACACGAAGATCTTGAGGTTGAGGTAGGGCCATAATGGATGTTGATGTTGGTGATCTTGGTAGCCAATTGTCACAGGACGTATTCAATCTATACTCGACATTCACCAACACCAAAGAAAATAACTATTTCACTCAATAGCTGTTATCGACAAGCAGTCACATCAATTATCGGATTACGGAGACATGCGAACTCGCTATAACCGGTGCTCCCCGCGTTTAGACATGCATCATCTTGATGCACGATAAGTTACCGTCCGCCTTGCCTTATCTTGTCTTATCTTATCTTATCATCCCGTGATCCAAAGCTCTGGTCAGTGCACTGGCAAAATCTCGACTAGGCAATTGTCGTCGCAACAGAGCTTCGAGACGTTGATTTGCGCTATACCCGACGACAAGCAATTGAAAGCTCCACGAGCTCAAATTTGTAGTCGCCATGCTGTGTGGAAGTAAGTTCTCAAGTTTTGTCATTGATAAGTAACGGTGCGCTGACCTCTTGACAGTTTCTGGAGAGGCTCCTCAAGAGCCCGTCGTTTCTAAGAAGTCTGGTATGTATTACCAACATCATCAACGCGCAGCTTTCACGGCTAACTCAGCAAAGGTGTCGTTTACGAGAAGCGTCTTATCGATCAATACATCAACGAACATGGCACCGAGCCCGATTCTGGCGAGGCCCTGACCGCCGATGACCTCCTCCCTATCCATTCGTCGCGTATTGTCCGACCGCGTCCTCCCACCCTCACATCAATTCCCGCTCTCCTCGCTACTTTCCAGAACGAATGGGACGCGCTGGCTCTAGAGACGTATAACCTCAAGGAGCAGCTTGCGCGCACCAGAGAGGAGCTTGCCACAGCGTTGTACCAGCACGACGCTGCTGTCCGAGTTATTGCACGACTCACAAGGGAGCGAGATGAGGCCAGGGATGCTTTGAGCAAGGTCACTGTGACGGGTGGTGCGGTCGATGGTGATTCTATGCAGGTCGATAGCGTGGAGAAGTTACCAGAAGAACTCATAGCCAAGGTGGACGAGACCCATCAGACGTATGTGGTTATCCTACAACTACACGATCCAAAACTAACCAGCATGCAGATTATCAAAGGGTCGCAAGAAGCGCCCTGTGCCTGACGGTTGGGCCACCGGCGAAGAGATTTCAGCTTTCGAGAGCGCGACTACACACTCCCTACCTGTTCCTGAGGCTACCGCCCTTACTGTTGGAGGAACCAATGCCGCGGCAGTTGGAGGCTTGAAGGGTCAGGCAGTTGTCTACTCTACCACCGAGGATAAGGTCGAGCAGTCTCTCTCGGTGGGTGAGCCTGTTACGGACGCTGTTTGGGCTGAGGCCGGTGTGGCTTTTGCGACTGGCCAAGGCAGTGTCAAGGTCTTCCAGGAGGGTAACCAGGTTGCATCACTGAGTGAACATGCTGGTGCTGCTACGGCGTTGAGCCTGCACCCTAGCGGTGAGATTCTGGCCTCTGTTGGTACGGATAAGAGCATCGTGTTCTACGACTTGGTCGCACAGAAACGTGTTGCCCGCGCTTACACCGATGCTGGTAAGTTTCTCCTGGTACACCCAAAGATGATTCTGTGCTAACGTGTTCCCAGCTCTCACATCTTGTGCCTTCCACCCTGATGGCCACCTCTTTGCCGCCGGCACTACATCAGGCGAAATCAAGCTCTTCATGACCAACACTCTTGAGCAGGCAGCTTCTTTCAGCCTGGGCGCCCCTATCCAGGCTCTCAGCTTCTCCGAGAACGGCTACTGGTTCGCAGCTACAGCCAAGGGCCAGACCATGGTCACTATCTTTGATCTGCGTAAAGAGGGAGACGCGGCGGTGGCCAAGGTTCTCGAGACTGGCGGGCCGGTCCAGTCCCTGGCGTGGGACTACAGTGGCCAGTTCCTTGCCACTGGCGGTGCGGCTGGGGTCACAGTGCAACAGTTCACCAAGTCCAGCAAGAAGTGGACCGAGCCTTTGAAGAGTTCTACACCCTCCGTTGCTGTTCGGTGGGGAGAGTCTGCAAAGCAGCTCGTAACAGTCAATGGCGAGGGTGTGGTCAGCGTACTTGCAACAAAGGAATAGACTGGAGCTTAGATGGGATTTCGTTAATAATTTGTATTATACGCCCGAACAAAGGGTCAAAGCAAAGCACAGAGGTTGGTGTTTGAAAATTGATAATTACGGTTCTGGTTTTTGCATAATGGAATGGGAGGCAAAACTTAGCCGCTCTATTTCAGTGACAAAAAAGTGCCAGGTAAACTTAGCATAACTAGACTAACCTGGTTAAGTTTTTGGATTAAGTGGCTACTTTTGGTGCTTTTACTAAATATCAGAAGTCTTCTTGCTCCCAGAGGCTGGTGTATTGCTTACCTCCACTATTGATACTCCAAAACAACAAAAACAATCATCACGAAAACCCATCATGGGCTTCAATACAACAAGGCACCTATTGACAGTGGAGCCAGACGGTATTAGCCCCTTGTAATGAAGCCTTGAAGCCTATTCTTAGTGGCCACTTAGCGGGGTAAACAGTGTTCGCCAGTGCAGGGTCTCTATGCGCTAGAGTCCTGTCGTCACATGGGGAGCAGCCTTGCATCGATCGTCACAGTAGCGACATTCAATTTCAACTTCCTTTCATACAACTAACTTTGAGCTTACCAACAACCTTCACCTCCCCGCGACTCCGCGCCTACGCACTCCCCAACGAACCGATACGATACGATACAGACGCTTACGATTCCTCTGAGCATAATTCTATGTCTCATCATCTAATTCAGTCCTGCTGCCATAGCGCTTTTGCTTAGCTTTCTCTACTTGCTAATCGCCACACTTTTCGTCTGCTTCGCCCTGGGCGGCCATTCACTGTATAAGTGTTCACTGCCCCGGGTGATATTCAGGAGGCTTTATGCCTTGAATACGATAAGGAGAACACACTTTATCTCCAACTATAACCGCCTAGACCTCGATACCTCGCATTTCAAGTCTTACACCACCTGCTCAGCATGGCTGAAAACAGTGATCCTCTCGAGATGTTTGAGGCGGGAGGGGATGATGATATCGACCTCTTGTTCGACAACGCTTACAGACCACGGCCACATGCTGGAGATCACCTCTATCTTCCACATCCCAATGCACCCGCTGCGTATCATAACACCCGCCACGCTCGCCGCTCACAGGCTGCTCGAAATCCAGTAATACCGCAACAGCCGCAAGAAGCTACCCCTGTGATCGACCTCACGGAAGAGCCCGATTCTCCTGTACAACCACGAGCTCTTCTCGACATCCTCCAGCCCGCGAGACCACCCGCAAGGAACCCCCGAAGAACGAATTCCCAGCGCATATCACCGCCTCAGCTAGCACGCACCGATGGTACTTTCGTGGGACGCACAGAAAATGTTATTGACTTGACTGCGGACTCACCTGAAGAAGACCGATCACGTTTCAGAGGGAGACGGGAGGTACCGAGGCCGGACGAGCTGATTGAGTTGGAAATAATAAGCCAGCGACCAGCTCTGGGGTCTCTACCCAATTTTGCTGCCTTTGGCCCCTTCAGGAGGTTGGCCGGTATCTTTGGAGCAGCAGACATTGCATTCAACCCACCCAATTTAGACATTTCACGCAACGCATTCGCACGACAACCAACCCCAAAGCCACAAATGTCCCCACCACCCCCAACTCGAGAAGGGTTCACTCGGAATACCTGTACCGACCCGGAGAAGGAGTCCGAAAGCGTGGTTATATGCCCAGCCTGTAATGAAGAGCTGGCTTATGACCCAAGCGGCACAGTGACTCAGAGCTCTGTGGGCCAGCAGAAGGGCAAAAGAAAGCGAGCACCGGGAGAACACCACTTCTGGGCCGTCAAGAAGTGCGGGCATGTAAGTTTTACGTTGGTCATGTGGGATTGCCACCAGAAACTAACATTTCCAGGTCTACTGTGCCGATTGTTATGAGAACAGGAAGCCTACAAAGACGAACCGTGGCGTAGGCTTCCGATCCCCTGACGGGCGACCTGCGCCGACAACTTCAAATGACCTCCGATGCGCAGTGGACGGTTGTGATAGTAAGGTATCGCAAAAGTCGGAGTGGGTGGGAATCTTTCTTTGATCTGCTGGCCTCAGAAGAACCTCACTTATGGTTGGCCTCTGGGAGTTGGTGGCAACGAAGTCATGAATGACGATAGGCATATACTTCAAGCATAGCATTGGCGTTAAGGATTGTAACTTATCAGACACTTTTCCCCCTGAAGTCTGCAGGGTTTGTTTTTTCTTATAGTACAGCGTTGATACATGTGATTTCATGGTGAGAATCAGGGGTTGAAAGTAAGGACAGCTTGGTCCAAAAGGGTCACTTATCCTTAGATCAAGGTAAACTTCTCAAAATAAAACAGGATAATATTCTAAACGCCGTCGCTATGTCATGAGAAAAATATTCATAATTTGCCACCCAGCCAGCACCAGTACAAAAAGGTGATGCCCTTAACTCCGAGCCATCGTGTGATCCTATGCCATGCTATGATTCCTCCCAGTGTTGTGCAATTCGGCCATTTCGGTAGTCGTCATCCAATGTACATGTCTATCGTTATATCATGAGGTCTAGGTCTAAATCGTCGACCCATTCGCCGCCATACGACTCTTGCGAAGCACTAGGTGCAAAAGGCTGTTGCGGCGGCTTTTGGTTTTCTTTGCTTTCTTGCGGTAGTGGTGGTAGATGTTGTTTCGGAGCCTCTATTCGTTTTGGTGGAATCCGAGGGTTCATAATGTTGGGGTTGTTGGATAGTCTAGATGAGGGTTTCTTAGGGGGTTGTTTAGATGGTTGAGGCTCAGTTCGCTTTGCGGAAGTTGTCGTACTGTTGTGTGGTGGTTTCTGTAGTGCTGATGGTGCCTTGAATGGAGGTTTTCGCGGTTGATTGCCTTGAGCTGCGTGTGGGGGAGGATTAGAAAACACTGGTGGTTTTCTGTTAGGCTCTCGCACTTTGCAAATTCTGCGAGACTCTGCTTGAGCTTGCTCCATCATACCAGCCTGCAAGCGAGCTCGCTCGCG